TGGTTCTCTGCCACAATCACTCAATTCCCAAATTATCGATATGTGAAAGATTTTGTCGAGCTATACATGTAGATGAACAAGCTTTTTTATTGAGCAGTAAGTTTCATGGATTTATATATGGAATGATACATAGAGGAGACAAAGAACAGCAGTTCAGTAGTAAGTTAATCCATGAATTCATAATGAGATTTGTAGATTCTGTAAAAACAATGAGGTTTGGGTTAAATTAGATGATCAGTTGTCACGCTTTGGTTTGCAAGAATTCTGTCTGATTACAGGCTTACCATGCCACGAGATATCAGTTAACCTTCGCTCTAATATTAGCCGACTTAGAAATCAGTATTTTAATGGTACAAAGAAAATTAGCATGTCAATGCTTCTTGAACCATTTCATCTCTGCCAGCATCAAGAAGATAAATTTAAGCTATGATTGGTTATGTTAGTAGAGAGTCTGTTGACGCCTACTGGAAGAAATATTGATTATAAAACTCTAGGCATGGTGGAAGATCTTAAAAACTTCATTGATTATCCCTGGGGGCGTACAATATATTTTGTTTTATTAAATTCATTGCAACAATCCCACCTTCAAAGATTATACAAGATGCAACACAATCAAGAATATGAATGTAAATATACATTGAATGGATATCCAATTGCATTTCAGGTACTTTATCCTATTGCTATAATCTTTTATTCTTATATTTTATACTATAAAGTTTATATATAATCTAATTTTTATATTAATTAATTTTCAGTGTTGGATATATGAAGCTTTTCCCCGAATTGGAGCAAAATTCGGACATCGTAGATACAAAACAGGACAGACTCCAAGAATGCATAGATGGAAACCCAATAAATTTTTCACAGAACAAACAGTTAAAAAGTATTTGGCTACCAAAAAGGTATTTTCATTATCTTTCTCATTAAATTATGCATTTAATTATATATGTTTAGAATAATCCCCATTTGATTATCTAATTTTAAAATAATCCCATATTAAAGTAATTTCAATTTTGGAACCTAATGAAGAAAAGTTGGAAACAGTATGGTATACCACACTTTCTTTACCACATGACAATGAAAATGATATACTAGATCGTATTATCAGAGGAGAACTAAACAATGCAACAAACCAAATTGACGGTGATACTCATCCTATGACACATCCTTCGGTTGGAGTTGGCGAAAGTTCTTCCATTGAATGCAATTATGTCACTTAACAAGAAATTGAAGACATATTAAACATACATAGACAGCATACTAGAGAAGATGTAGAGGTTATGCTGAATGTACATAGACAACATCTGACATCAGATGTATCAAATTTTTGCAACACGTTCCAAACAAACATCATTGATCAATCAAGACATCACTATGAAGCAATTCTTGAAAACCAACAACAATTGTTTTAACAACAGCAGAATTGGCAGCAAGATCATTTTCAACAACACCACCAATCACAACAACAGTGCTACGAAGACATCCAATCAAGTATGAAAGCTCACTTCAATACCAGTTTGACTTCTATCACTTCATATATTAGTGAAGAAAATAGCCGTGTATTAAATAAATTGTCTGAGTGCTAATCCAATATGCAAGCTGCTATAGCTTCTCTTCAAGAAGATATTTCTCTCCATACAAGCTCGTCTCAACAAAGGTTGACAAAAGAAAAAAAAAAGATAAAGGAAAACAAACACAATTTCCAAAGAGCTTTCCTTTAGAAGATTATGATATGGAAAGATATATCGAAATTAGAGATTGGATACAAACACATCCATCCAGGTAAACAATCTAACTAACTTGACTATTATACTTTTACTTCTATATATTTCAAACTAATTCCAGTTATATTATTATGTTATACAGCATGTATTGGGGTGATAGATCAAGACATTTGCACAAAATAGATACACTAAAAACTATAATGGATATAACGCAACACGTCAATGTTAAGGTTAGTAAACTTCATTCATCTTAAATTAGTTTATTACATACTATATCTAATTTACATTTACTTATTGCTAGAATCTTGAAGTCGAGTTGACATTACAGAGACGACTTTTCAATGACGATTTCAGGCATGTTTCAAAAGAGTATGCAATTCTCGATTTCGGCTTTGAAATCGAATGCTCTAACCATTTGAAGACGATGAAAAGCATATAAGAAAAAACTGCAAGCAAAGATCAAAGCTTTTTTGATATTCGATGGTTAGAAGAATACATGGCTGGCAATGTGCCAATGGCTGGTAGACCATGGATAAAGTGCAATTATCTACTAATTCCTTGTGAACTTGCAGGCAATGACTGGTACCTCTTTCAAGTAAATTTTAGTGATTGGAAATTTAGGATATATGATTGTAGCAACACCGTTCATACGCCACAAGAGGTCATGGAATTCGCAAATCTAGTATTAAATGTCGTCCAATATTTATTACTATCTTCATCATTCTTCATCGGCACATATATAAGGAAGAATAGAAACAAAAATATGAGAGTAGAAATCGCAACTAAATTACCATGTGCAAATAATGGGTAAGTAATATACGTATTCATTATTATAATATTTCATTTGGTACTTACATTTATATTAGTTATATAACCTAACTTACACCGTTTTCCTCAGGACAAATTGTCCAATTTTTTTACTGAAATATATAGAATGTTTCATTTTTGGACATCCGCTAGAATCCATTTCATCAGACAGAATGACGATATACAGGCGAAAAATTGCAGTAGATATTTGCTATGACAAATACTTTGTATATCCTCCTTCCTGATTTTAGTTATGCGAAAGTGTAACATTCTAGCAGACAAATAGGTAAGATATGAAATTAATCCTTCATCTTAAATATTTTCAAATATTTGATTAAAGCAACTTAAGAAATTTCTAGAATGTAGTTCATTTATTTTAGTTTTAATGTTTAAACACCTAACCACGATTTACTTTGTTGGCTATGAATTTTCTTTGTCATACACAAAAATAATGTTGAAGATTTGAAGAATCTCATGAGGAAAAAACAAGTAGATTCTCATCATTCTAAAGTACAATGTTATCATTGACTGTTACATCATTTTCAACATATTGTTTATATGATTTATGTGTTGTCAATTCAACCACTTGAAGTAAAAGTTTAGATTAAATAGGATCGCATATACATAACACCCACAATTTATTCGAAATCAAAACCTTTGTTTGCTCTTAATAGCATGTTCAAACAGTTAATCTAAAAAATTAAGCTATTAGATAATGTACATATATCACTAATGTCCATTTAAAAAATTAGCTTAAAAGTTAGTTTTAGTTATCAAGCAATACACAAGTGAGCTTTGTGATTTTTTGTTTTTTCTTTTAGTATAATCTTTTCCTTTTAGGACTATATTTAGGCTACATTATATGCTCTGAAATTTAATGCTATTTCTCTTCTTTATAACATAATATTTGATAACCTATCAAAAAACGGAAAATGTATAAAGAATATACCACCAAGCATTTAAATAAATATGAGGAGGCTGGATTACAAACCCTTCCACTTGCTTACAAGAACTCTTACATTTGCTTACAAAAAGCTCGGAGAGGCGAGCATTCTACTTGGAATGAAAAGTTTTTCAAGGCAAAAACCTCATTTCGGAATAATAGGGATAGAATACTACAACAGGTTTCTACATTTATCTATTGTCTTTCATTCCATTACATCTTTAACCAATCCTCTTTGCAAATAATACATGTTTATTCTTACTATTATCTAGCAGCACTTTGTTTCTACATATTTAATTAGCTATAAATTTTAGGTTCTGATTCAAATCTAAATACAAGTTATTTTATAGTCTCTAGCAGCCATTCCCTTTGGCACAATAATGATTGTCTTCAAAATCTGGGCTTTGTTTCTTTCCCCTTGGCACTTCTTTGTACACTTGTTGGAAAAAACTGGAGCCGTGCTCCAAAGAATCCATACCAAATGAAAACCATTCCACAACCAATCCCTAAGAAGTGATACTTGACGCCACCTATAGTTTCTATGACAGTAGGATTACTTCCCTCTAAGCATTTACCTTTTGATGTAGTTTGGAGATATATTATACACATATCAACTCACATTTATTTAAGTTTATCCTCGCTTTTCTCAGGAAGTAATATCTAAAAAGCTTTAATGTGTTTGATTTTCTAAAGAACACCATTTGCAAGGTTTCCAATTTAGGTAATTCACATGCTTTTGCTGAGGATACATCTACTGCCAAAAGAAGGTTTATGAGGCTATAACATTTTTTGTTTTCTTATCTATTATCAAATTTCAAAATTGAGATTAAATTGCTTGTATTTTTCTCATACAGGAAAATCTCAGGAAATGAAGAAGATGCCAATGATGATAAAGTCAAAAAAAGCTCAAGTGGTAAGCTAATTTTTTATGATGATATGGAAAGTTTTCCAAGGCAAAAACCTCAATTGGGGATAATAGGAATGCAATGCTAGACAGATTTCGACATTTATCTATTGTCTTTCATTCTGTTGCATCTTTAACCAATCCCCTTTGCAAATAATACATGTTTATTCTTACTATTATCTAATAGCACTTTATTTCTAGATCTTTAATTACCTATAGATTTTAAGTTTTGATTCAAATCTTAGTTGAAGTTATTTTATGGTCTCTAACACCCATTCCCTTTGGCACGATAGTGATTATCTTCATAATCTAGCCTTTGTTTCTTTACCCCTGGTACTTCTTCGTACACTTCTTGGAAAAAAACTGGAGTGGTGCTCCAAACAATCCATGCTAAATAAAAACCATTCCACAACCAATCCCTGATAAGAAGCGATACTTGACACCATCTATAGTTTCTAGAATTACTTCCCTTTAGTAGCATAATATAATTAACAAATTGAACTATTGAACTATTTTTTTCTTGTTCGTTACTCTGTCTATTTTTTATTATTATCCAAAATAAAAATATTTTTTGTATAAATCTTCGTAGATTGAGAACAATAGAAGGAAGAAAGGAGGATATATGTCTCTGCAGTCGATGTTTTCTAGAAGAATTGACATTGGCTTCGGTAGTCACACAAGCATGTCTAATAATGTTGGTGGTTTTGAAAGTGGTTCTGGCTTTGGATTGACCACTGGTGTGGAATCCTTCTCCTCCAAGTCAAAAGGTCTGTTTTTGTTTTATCTAGCGGAGCTGTAAGGGCACTTAATTTTTTTGATCTGAGTTATACAGCAGTTGTACAGCTGCATATATATCTTTTAACAAAGAATGTCCATAATTTTATACCAGAACTTCCTCTGAATGTTTCTGTCAACTCTGACAGAAGTATAATAGCCTTGCTTCAATATCGGATTATCGACTGTTTCAATTTTTGTTATCTATCATAGAGGGATGTACTGAAATCTATTATTTTGATTTCTCATGTCTTTTCCCTGGAATAATGTTTTCATATGGGCATTCTTTTAATATCCAAGAATAAAATAATGGAAAATGAACTCATTATTGTTTGGTGATATCTACCTCTTCAATGTTTTATGCAGGTTCTATTGATTACTTTTTTGTAGCATTTTAATCCTGGTGTATTAGATAATATATAGAGTAACAGGAGGTAGATATTTATTGAAAATTGTATACTATGATTGTAGAAAAACTAAAAGGATAGAAAACGAAAATTGATAGAAACTAACATAGAAATGATGGTAGCAGGAAATGAAAGATAGAATTCAATATGATGAACATATTGAAGGAACTGATGATAGAGTATGTATAACACTTATTATTCATCAAAAGCTCAAGTAATACTTTGAGTACATTGGTCTATTTATAGACTAATTTAGCTGGTATAACAAACTAATCTAACACCTACCAAACTTAAGAAGGCACTAGAAGAA